AACAACAATAATAATAACAATAATATTAATAACATTAATTATAACTATATTATTATTATTATTAAAATAACAATAATATTTATCATATTAATACTAATAATAATAACATTAATAATAACAACAACAATAATAATATCAATAATAATAAAATAACAATATTATTAAAAACATTAATAATTATAATAAGAATAACAACAATATTATTATTAATAATAATAATAATAATAATAATAATAAATAAGTATACCCAATATAAAAATATGCAGAAGTTTGTACATTTAAAATAAATAAACAAATAAAATATTAGAATAACAGCAATAATTGATCTGAATATGTTCTCTTTATTACCGTGACTGTGGGAGTCCCTTCTTGCCCAGATCCACCCTCACTCTTTCTCCAACATGTCTGTAAATCTCCACCAGACAGTTCATAGCAGCGTCTCGAACCTTAACACACACACAATCACACACACTTTTATTCATTCGTTCATGAATTAATTTAGTTATTTATGCATTTATTCAGTCAGTAAAATTCAGGTTACATTAACTGCATCCTTACAGATAGAAAATAAATAACAAAACAAAGAAATGAAGAGGTAAGCAAATTACAATAATATAGAAGTGTGTGAAAATAAATTAAATAAGAGCATTACAGGAAAGCTATCTAAATCTTATCAGAGTCGAAAGATAACAGTTCTTTATATAGTACCATCTATTTATTAAAAATCTATTTATCAGCTCCTAATCTGCAGATAAACACTGTATGATGCATTAGTTGCCATCTCTATTGTTAACCAGCAGGAGGCGCCACAGACCACAGCACTGAAACTGAAGAGGAGTAAGGAAAATTCATAATAAAACACTCGCCTGACTGCTCGGGTCTCCTAACAGATGACAAATATGAGGAACAATCTTGCTGAGGGTTAAACCCTGTGCTCCATATCTGCAAAACAGAAACAATACTTAAATAAAGCTCGTAAAAAAGCAATAATAAATATAATGCTGGGTATAACCGGGTGGCTGGGAGTCGATTCCTTGAGAGTCGATTCTAAAGTTCAAAAGTGATTCCATCAAAGTGGATCATCTTCCAAGCCCAGTTTTGCAGAACTCGTTTATAATTTGATTCCTCTTGATAAAAATGATCAGAAGTCAGTTGGTAAATAAAAGATCTAATACATTTTCGTGAACAGATTCGCTTGGTTGGTTTCAATTGATTGCGACATCTTACCGCGATTCACTTACGATCGTGTATTTTGATAGCGGATGGTTATGGTATGCTGAAATGTCCAATTAATAGGCAATTTAATTACGCTAAAATGTTTTAAAATGTAATTATGTACTTGTTTGAGGTTTCTTTTTTTCCTTTTTTTGCTATTGACAGGGTTTGCATGTAAAGAAAATCGGAAGAGAATCTAAACAACAGCGAGGAATCAATACTCAGAACGGGGTGTATGCAGACTTTTAATTTCAGCCAGCCTCAGCACTTCCGGTGAACTGTCTTTCTGTTATAAAATTGCCACATTTAAGGTCTGGTTTCTTTTAAAATCACTGATCTTCACTGCCTGTTAGATATAAAATATGAAGTGGGTCTCGGACTAGAAGCACTGCATTAAATTACATTTCCCCCTGCCATGTATTTAAATTATGACTGTTTATTTTACCTCAGTATTTTAAAGAGTTTCTAGTGGTTTTATCTCATTTTACGCTTACAAATATCAAACTCATAAAGAAACAATCCTTTCATATTTATTTTTATTTATTTGCAATATATTGTGTAAACTTGAACTTATTCTAACATTTTTGAGTTTAAGTTTATGGTTTAAAAATTAGAAATTATATATAATAAATATATATAATAAATATATATA